ACAGTTTTTTAACGGACGAAGCTTTTCAAGCCTTAAAAACTGAACTGGATATCGATGTTATCGAAAATACTTTTGATAAATATGTAAGTCTCAGGGAAGTAGAGATTTAATTATTGACGATTTTTATAATTTATTCCGTAAACTCAGTTGAATCGCGCTTTACGTGAGGCTTTTAAATATTTACCAGAGGAGAAACCAAAACCAAACAAGAGAACTGTTGAGAAATATGAAAATCTTGCATTCACTTTCAAAGCCAAATTGCCACGGAAGCTTTCAAAGTCAGCAACAAGATTTGATGTACCGTTGGATCCGAAATTACTAGAAGGTTCGCATTTATAAATTACATATCAACAAAGCATATGGTTACTAAGCACTAATTTTCAGAAATGACTGTTTTAGGCTATCTAGGCAAATATGTGTGGGTCTCTGACCAACGAAAGCAGCTTTTCAAAAGAGTTTTCCTGCAATATTTGCCGACAGAAGTAATAGAACGTGATGAAACAACAGACAATATGGTAAGGAATGATGACAATGCCGAAGACGACTCTTATCGGGTGCTAAACGAGTACGTAGAACGTAAAATACCACTCAGCTGCTTTCCGAAAGCATTAGAAGACGTTTTAGAATTTTATGGCACCGAGCAAAATATATCGAAAATATTACATTTACTAGAATACGAAAATGAAGAATCTTCTAAGGAAATTGATTTTCGTACTTGGTGTGGCGTTGTGTCGTTTGCTGAACGGTTGGCGCTAGAAAATTCCAATGCGTCGGACTCATGTGATGAGGTATTTAATTATTTATTTCTTACTATAATTGCAAAAAAACTTGTGAAATTAACAGAAGACTCTGGGTGTTTTAAAATGGGTTTATTCTCAATCAGCAGCTTAGAGCAATAAATTCGCTAAAAACAATTTTAAATTTCTCAAAAACTATTTTGTTGCGGTGATGATGAGCTCTGTTATTGAGAATGAACCTGGGAGGAACATCTACTTGTTGTTTAGAGATCTAGTGGACTGAGATATACGTGGAAGAGCATATATGCTAGAGCGGATGGATTTACAGGGCATAAAAAAAACAGAAAAATCGGGCATCGGGCGAAAATAAAACGACTCTCTCAAATATCGTCGCGCTTTTAAGTACCCATATTAACGCTTGCTAATGAGGTACCTGGCGGTAGTTATAAAACGCTAGGGGTAGAGATCCACTAATTAAAAAACTCAACATTGATATCGACAACGTAAAGAAGCGGACCAAACGTCGTTGGAAGGACCCTGCTACCTCTAGCTGGAACAACGATTCTTCAAGCTGTGTTGCCTGCGGCCACATCTCCACTGCAACGGAAGCAGGTTTTAGTTCTACTGCAAACTCAGCTCTACAGCGCACAGATGACACAGTTAATTAAGACTCGAACCAAGAAAATTCTGCGAGTATAAACGCGGAACAGGAAAAAGAACTTCTTAACTTTCATGAGTAGGTCACCGAAGATTCCAACTCTGGTAACAAGCAAGGCCCCGGTAGAAGGAAGTATATGCAACCGACTCGAGGCCAAGTCCAACCTGAAGGAAGAAGAGGTGAAGCGGATGGCTTGGGACATAGTGGGAATGAAATACGGCCGAGCACACTTCGCTATTTGTGGTGGCATGCCACTGACTCATCGTTTTCGCAAGAAAGCGGCAGCGTTTGATGGAGAAGAATGGTTTAGCGGTAAGAGAAGCGCTCAGAACACTTCCAAACCTATAGTAAGATGCAAAATTGGAGGTGGTGCAAAACTGGAAGATTGCGAGGCAACAACGGCAGAGCTTAAACGGCTGGCGGTTACATCCAGTAGAAAGAAAAGGGAATGCTCAATTTTATTTTACATAGGAGTCTAGTGCCAGCTTATCGAGGTGGGGAACTTACCTATATAGGACCGCCTTTAGAAACGTCCCTTTCAAAACGCTATTAACCAGTAGAAATGCAATAGTGGCACTAAGCACTCTGCCATTCTCTGGCCATCTCCTTTTTCATCAGACCAGAAGAAAATATCATACACGAAGTTTGGAGAAATACCAGAAACGAAAAAACGGGTATCTCTACAGGCAGATACTATTAGGCAAGAGACTTAGATTTTGAGCGTATAACTCACATGAAGGGCGTAAAAAGGGTGTGACTGCACGAAACGCAAAAGTAGCGGACCTATAATTGTGAAGATTCATTGGAAGTCCTAACCAGTGTCCACTTTCCTGACTGCAAGGATACAGAAAGTATTAGCCATGAGTGCAGTAAACTTACCGAATACATCTTTAAGGAGAATAAAATGTAATAGGCAGTCCGCTCATTGGACCCATACAAATCGCCCGGTATGAACAATCATTCATTCAACTATGTGCCACACTCATAGAGGAGTGAGGATAGTTTTCATAACGAAGGCAGCTTGAAACAAATCAATAAGCTTAACTTCCTTCCTGCTGAAAAAGTTAGAGAAAATATTGGAGAAGCGCATCAGGTCCTCAGCGCCTTCTGAAAGCTTGTCCAAGGCGCAAAAGGCAAATTTAATATCAAAAGAGCCGTAGAATATAAAGAATACGTTTTTGGAGTGCTTCTGCACATCTGGAGCATTAAGTAAATTTTTTCGGAATCCAATCTGAATATTATCGAGACAATAGTTGTTGACCCTGCCATAGAATATTGGATCAAAACCATCTTGACCTCTGAAAGAATAAAAGCATAATGGAACGACGCTAGAATGACGAAGGAACTCCGTAAGTTTGAGTGCTATCTCCGTCCCTATAGACATTAGTGGTGAATAAACTGTAAATTGCCCAGCAAAACCCCAGAGATACTGGCATATGCTGATATTTGTATAACAAGCTTGGGCAACGAAAGCGGGTCTGGAATTGAGTTCGGAGAAAATAGACCTTCTTGTGGTCACAAGGAAATACAAAATCCCTTAATGGAGGATCTAATCGATAAGTGGGACCCAGCTCACCCTCAAGAACCACATCTAGTCCCTAGGCCTGGTTTTGGACATCAAACTACTCTGAAAGCACAACGTGAAACAAAGAGTGAGGAAGGCCAGCAATGCGTTATATACATGCCGACAGATGCTCGGCATAACCTGGAGAATTTCTCCCTCTATTATACACTCGTACTGCACATCTATTGCAAATAAATTCTGCTCTACGGTGCAGTAGTATAGGCGTACGAAAACCTATATACCGAAAGTCAATGGAACGGGTTCAGGTGCTCGCTGCAATCTGCATAATGGAAGCTCTACGAACCACTCCAATGGCGGTTCTTGTACTATTGCTAACGCTGCACGACAAATCGGCGAGCGACTACTGGCTGCATGAGAATTTACTTATAGAACCTTTAAGATCGGTGGGCAATGGCGGTTTGGAAAGCAGCGATAAAATACTCCCAATTTCCAATTGGCTTAAAAATGGAGGACGGAGTTGGTATCGGAAATTCTGCCCAGAGAAGGCAGCCTTTTTCACTGCCTACCTGCATATTTCAAGCTGATGTCTTTGATATTGGGAAAGCCGCGGAGCTAGCATATAATGAGTCAATAGACAACTCCGCGGTTAATATCTACAATGGCAGCCAATCAGCAGTCAAGGCAGTAACCTCTAGAATTTTGTGAGGAACAAGACACTTCACTTCTAATAGGTGCCATGTCACAAAGTCAGCGATAGCAATGAGATAGTTGACGGGGTAACAACTGCAGAAAATATCAAAAGCATCGCACCAGGGAAACAATGGAGCATCTCTTGTGCCCTTGTTCCGCCTTCGTAATGCAATTCTTAAAACATTTTCGGGGGCTCCGTGGGATACTGGGCGATATATCGATAGTGAAACCGCAGACCTTATTGAAATTCGCGTCAAGCGATAGCATCTTGAAGGATGACTACTCCTCAGTAGTGTGTAGTTGTTAAGTATTATATTTATTTTTACATAACTAAATTTATGGAACGTGCACAGCAATGCCATTAAAAAGTTTATAATTTGTCTGAATTATGGAAATGTAATATTTGAAATATTTTGCTATATTGATGTGTATATCTTTTACAGTTGGAAAAGGCGGACTTCGGTAGCTTAGAGGAAAGGTTACCACATTTTTCTATTCGAGAAAAGCTATTGGAAATCTTCAGAATAATTCGATCAACACATAATGTATAATGTACACTTGAGAACAATATGGAATAATTTCTCATGGATTTTAATTAAAAGTGAATTAATTCCAGTAAATACTTTTATAAACTCAACATTACATTATGTACACAATTGAAGCACACAACTTATATTTCAAAATTGCAATAACTATGTATGTTTCTCGTATTAAGTATTAAGTTAAAAGCGGAACATGTCACAAATGAATAAATTCTTGATACCTCAGAGGTTTTGACAATTCGTCACTTTAAACCACTGATATCATACGATTTTTTAATTTCCTAATTTTCTTTGGTTTATGTTTTAAACACACATATTTTTGGAAATTCTTATTTCACTAAATTAAGTTAACTACGTAACATTGACATAAGGGACGGTGCCGATTAGAAACCATGCGACGTATCTATAAAGAAGCCGGATAGAGATCACTTTTGTTGCTATGGAGTGCTGTACAGGTGTAAAAAGTGGCTGTGCCAAGCAACAGTCGACATTTTAGTTCGTTGTTTCAGTATAAACTTTCACGCTAAGCGAGAAAAGTTGAATGTGAATGGTCTTAATGTTGATTTATAGCATTAACAGACGGCAGCGTTAATCCGGATTAAGTGTCCTATGCAGTTAATCGATACTAACGCTTTGTTCTGCGTTTTTTCTAAAATTTACATTGAGTATAACACTTAAAAATAATTACATTAGTCATAATAAAAGTGGTTCATAAAAACAGTTACACATAACATAGTAAATTACTGAAACGATATTAGAGCCAATACTTGAATCTTTCTGACATTTTGCATGGCAAACGAAAACTAAGAAACACCCTGTGCAGAACTATTTGTGGTTCAGTCTTTAGTCACAGCTGATTTACTTAGTGCAGTAGAATTGAATTAGAGGAAAAGATATATATACTAATAAATACAGTAATTAAATTTAGAGATATCAAACTATTGTTATAAATAAAAATAATAAAATATCAAAATAAAAATGGCAACATTAGAAGATAAATTAATGGGAGAAAAGCTGGAGTACTATTGCAGCAGTAGTGAAGGTGAAGACAATGGTGATGATGGTGAAAGAAAAGAAACGCGTTCTAGTGGTAGTAAACAAGAGACCGCAGCCTATATCGATTCTGATGTCTGTCCACCTCCGCCAGGAGAAGGTTATCGTTCGCAAGTTTGCACTAATACTGGACCTAAAGGTGTAGTACAAGATTGGCAACGCTTTAAACAACTACAAGCAGAGAAAAGAGAGGAATCGGAACGTCAGCGCATAGAATTGGCTAAAAAATTATCCATGACAACGGCCACTGCCAAGGAAGAGGAGGAGCGTAAGCGTCAAGAAGAGATTGATGCTGAATTGAGTGAACTCATGAGTGAAGATTTCTTGCAACAATATCAAAAGCAACGTATGGCCGAAATGCTAAGACAGTGCGGTCATATACAACAATTTGGTAAAGTTATAAATTTAACTATGCACGATGAATTTTTAGACTTTGTGGAAAAAGAAAATAAACATACTACCGTTATAATCCATATTTACGATAAAAGCATAAGCGCTTGCTCGACTTTGAATAATTGCCTTGAGACATTAGCAACGGAATATCCGTCCATAAAATTTGGAAAAATATGTAGTTCTGTTGCTGGCATGAGTCGAGATTTTCGTGCAAAGGGCTTACCCGCTCTTCTTGTGTATAAGGCTCAAGCATTAATTGGTAACTTTGTACGCGTTACAGATGACTTATCTGACGATTTCTTTCCATCAGATGTGGAAAGCTTTCTAATAGAAAATGGAATAATTGTTGACAAGGCATTGTATAACTAAAAAACATTTTTTTTAAATAACTAATTAGAGTCTATATAATTAGAGAAGATTGAAATCAATATAAATATTGGCTTCGCAAAATGTAATACTTTTTTTTACTAAGTAATACATTTTGTGCGATCTAGATCTAAATCAAAATAAATTAAGCCTACAATGTGTTCCTTTCAAATTTGTACTAAAAATTTAAAAACAGGAGTAATAAAGTTTGAAATACAAATCATTTGCTTAGGTATACTTCAGTGTTTACATTAACGACCACTAAGCGAGCATAAGATTATTTGCTCGAATTAGGTACTTAAGGATATTTAAGTATTCTACTTTAAGCATTTCTAATGAGAATTTATGTAAAAGATACTGATAATCATTGTAAATATGCGCATGAAAAATAAAGCAATAAATTACTATATTGTAAATTGTTGGGTACTTACTCGGTTTTATTGTTTTAGCATAAGTACTACTGATCCGATGTAATTAATTTTCCCGCTTATTTGAAACACCTGATCGGTCAAAAATATAATACATACAAAGTCGCACTTAATTGAAACGGTTAATTGTATTCTCCTCATAATTGGATAAAAATGTGTTATTGGAAAAATATGCCTTTAATTTCTCCCTAACAACCGAACAATTGGTGCAGATTTTGGTTAGGGCTGATGTTGAGAAGAAAGAGAAATAAGATGGTCGTCCAAAGCCTCCGCCAGTTCTCGAAGTTTTAAAATACATACAAGAACATATTTTGAACAATTTAAAAAAGGTTACAGAACTGTAAGCACCGATCTCTAGATAAATATGGGAATGCTAGTGCTGCATATGTACATAAATACTTACTTGTAAAAGCTCACCCCACACAATTTGGTACTTAAGATTACCGCCACACTGTAGGCATTTTTTATTATTATTAAAAACAATAAAAATCTAGGAGATTAAAAGTAAACCGAAATTGTTTTTTTATAAATGAGATATTATTAAGCATATATATTATCTTTATTATCTGTTTTCAGCATTTATTATTATATAGCATACATTAACTTACATATGTGATTGATTTATACCCACAGAAATTCAGCTTTTACTGTTAGGCTTTATAACCTTAAAAGCATATATATTTTTTGATATACAACCGACATGCTTTTACATAAATGCTTTCATTCGGAATTTTAGATAAACTGGAAATTACAATTGGTAATGAAGTCCTCCGATATACCAAATACGCAAATATACTATATAAAAGCAAGTATAAAACGACGATCAAATATGCATTTTGAATCTAATAAAATGTTAACAGCAATTGTTGATGCTTAAATACATAAAAAAGAAATTCAATAAATTATTAATTCCAGGTCATTGGGATTGTACCTATGCACATATGCAATTATATATATTTACAAACATTTCATACTAAATCTTAGTCATAATATGAACATTTTCAAGTACATGAATTATTTTATTTGAAAATAAGTAACATTAATTTATATCAATCATTTTGTTATTATATTACTTATTTATTTTTTATTTTAGCTATAAACACTTCACTCTTTTAGCTGCCACAAATTTTAACTTCGATAACTGCAACCTATTACCTCTGCAATAGTTTTGTATAGTATGCTCTTATTTCTTTTCTTTCTGAATGCTTGGCAATTTTTAACCATTAATATTTATTTGTTCTTTATAAATGCTTTCCATAGCTAAGAAAATGTATATACAAATTTCATATTTTGAATTGAACTAACATCTTTTGACAATTGTGTGGTTTGGTGGATTTTTAAAACTTATTGAGGGGAATAGACAATGATTTCGGCTTAAAGTCTTTAATATCTCAAAAGCTCTTTCTTTTCCTTAATGTAGAGTTTTATGTTAAATTAAATCGTAACCTAATTTGTTTGTATGCGAGAACATGAATAATTACGATAATGCTTTGAATATTAAATAAGGGAACTTGGATCGGATTATGGGATTGGACATGAACATTTATGCTTCTTTGCTGTATCGTTTGGAGGTTCAAGCTCAACAAACACTATTTAATATTAGGTACAAACAAATTGATAGTAGGTTCGAAAAATATTTGATTTTTCTTTGAAATGTTCGAGTTGGAGGTACATACAGTATTGGCTACTTTGTTATAAAAGAAATGTGTTGGAAACTAATTCATCATGCACACTTCGTTATTTATTTATTTTCAAAAATTAATTATGTTTATTTCATCAAATTCAAGCGTAAATAATTTTTAATTTTTTACAGTTTCAGTATATAACAATAAACTGTTATGACCTTTAATATAGTTCGGCAGTAAGTGGCTTAGGATTTTAAACTAATATATTCGATTAATACTGAATTAAACCAACGAATTATAAACCCGTTATAATGTACATATATTATATATGTAAATACAATAATGTAAGTAAACAATTGTCTGTGTATCAATATGAAAGTACATACTATATAGTATATAAAGTGAATAGTAGAAGACACCAAACACAAATTCGAATTAATACTTTTACACATATAGATGCACACTTTTGTGCACATCATGTGTAATATGTATTATTATGTGAGCTAACATATACAATCATATAAAGTATTGATATTTTATTTTATCTAGCGAATTTACATATTCCCAACGATTTTCTAATCAACAAAAACTATGTATTATGTACTAATATGTTCATTTGTATATGTAAACGAATTGTTGTTTGACAAAATGTTATGCTTATATATATTTTTAAATTCTCCATCGAATTTATGCTAATAAATATTGCTATCACTAACGTTTTTTGAAATATTGAACCTATTCTAGTGCACGTATAACATGCATGTTAAGCTTTTCTGTATTCTTCATACGTCAATTCATTTCAAAAGCCGTCTAAAATTTTCAAATTGCTGACATACATACGTTTTTATATTGCCTAAAAAAGCCGAACCCATATCTACAATGTTCACATTGCTATTTTTCGACATAATTGTTTTGCACATTTTGAGATTTATAAATACAGTAAAATATGTACATATATAAACACTGCTACCAAAATATCGAAGGATATCTGATTTTCGACTTATTAACTATACCAGCATTTTGCGATATGCTGATTATTCCTTACTCCTTATGTAGTTGGGGATCCATGCTTATTTACTATTTTCATACACGCGGCGCTTTGAAGGTAATTGTCGAAACGGCCTGTTCCGTTTGAACACCATCACTGCTTGGATTTTGTGTGGATATTCTTCCTTTTTGGCCCGCCGTTGATGTAGCTACGACGTTTTCCAAGTTTCGCGTTGTGATTAGCGTTGGCATATTATTAATGAGACTTGTTGTCGCATATACTAAATTGTTGTTACCGCTTACATCAACGTATGTTGGTTCCGCATTATCGCAGTCTTTCATAGTATCAGTGGTGTCCATTAGCATAGAGTTAAGGTCACTAATATCACCACATTTGCTGTCGCACACACTTTCTGAAGCAGTTCGTTCACTACCACCATCCATGCTCAAGCGCAACTGCCTTCGCTTGCGTTCCAACGAACTTGTGCAGTCTTCTAGCCGATTAAATGGAAATGCTGGTACAAGAATATGTTGACTATCAGGCACGGTGCCGATATTGCTGCAGCACGCTGCAATTGAGTTGCGCACTGATGGCGGTGCTGTACCAACCGGCAACATACCGCCAGCAGCACCGATTGTACCGACATTTGATGTGAGTAGGCCATTGCTATCGGAAACGCTATTGCCACTGCCGTTGATTGTATTACCACTGCAGACCTGCTTCTCTCTGTTGCGACGCAATGAAGAACGCATTGGATATTGCCGTGGCACGTTTAACCCGATTAATCGTCGGGTGGATGGACGTCGTGCAGTTGTGGCGGGATATTGAATTGACTCTGCGCTGTTACTCAAACGGATGTTGCCAACTATGTGTGTCCGTTGTAAGCGGTATAAATGAGAGTCGTCCCGTTTTGTATTAATAGTCAATTGGTTGGCGTTGGAAAGGTCGGTGGATTATACAAAATAGTTGGGCATTTTTTTTTTTTTTTTTGATTTTTTGTTGGAACGGTCATTGCACGGGATATTCGCAAAATAGATAAAAATGGTAAGACAGAAGGTATTAGGATTCAATTTAAAAAGCATGATTACATTTCCTAAAACAATTATGCATGTTTAATTTTGTTCTCCGTTTTTCTTTTTTTATATGCAAATGTGAATTAGTCAATGTAAGAGGTGTGTACGAGGACAAAAAAAAGCTTAAATAGGGTAGAAGTAAATTTTTGTTCAATGTATTAGTTTTTGACTTAAGAAAGTGTGAGGTTAAACTTTTGAAGCACAAAAACAAATTAAAAAATGCACATCATGAAAAAATTAAACAGAAGTGGAACAAAACAAAGCATAGCCAAGACGCCATATAAAAAATTTTAAGCTTTTTCGCAGGCTTAACAGCTTATCAGATTCACTAATTACATAACCAATAAATAATAATAAAAACACAAAACCATATCAGGTTAAAGTTATAATTTTTATTTTGAAACAGCACACAAACAAATTATGATAAGACACATTAAAAAATTATACACTATTTTTAGTATTTATTAAATTTAAATTAAAACCTACTTATTGGAACTATATTTTAATGTTATTTATTTGAGATATACTATATTATTTACATGGCTATATTTATTACAAACAAATAAGTTATTTTTAATAAAACAGAAAAGAATTGGGATTCGAAATTAAAAGAATTGATAATAAAAAAATAAAAACATTATTCCAATAAATAAATAAAATTTTGTACTCTTAAGGGTGTCAGGAGTTTGTTAAGTAATATATTCGCTCTTTCAGTTATTTGTTATAGAAATCCAAATTTTCAGAGAGCATATCCTATACCACTAAATAGAAAAAAAGTTTATATTCTAAATACTTATGCTTAATTTTTTTGTGGTCCAAAGATAGCAAGATTTTGAAATTCTCTACTTGACAATTCATTTTGTGACAAAATTGTCTACTTGGATCTATACAAGTCCAAATTCGCACACTGCATATTTGATTGGATGTTAATTAAATGATTTTATACAAATAATGTAATTGTATACATATTTCGAAATTGCATCATTTAATACTATAAGGACTCTTTTATTTTTTATTATTTCCAATTTCACTGCCTTCACAAAGATGAGGTCTAACAAAATTTAACTTGAGATTCTTACAAATATTAAGTTGTCAAAAAAGACTTGCGGAATTTTCGCTAGTTGGCGCTGAGAGCGCGTAGTTCTAGTTTTATTCGTCGCATCGGGTCATGCTATACCTTTTTGGAAAGCTCACGCTAACACGTGTTTGATTGATTGTCGTTTCTTTTAAGTCGTACGTGAGTTATAGCGTCGCAAACATGGAGCAAAATAAAGAGAAAATACGGCATATTTTACAGTACTACTACGATAAAGGCAAAAATGCATCTCAAGCCGCCAATATAATTTGTGCAGTTTATAAACCTAATACAGTTTCCATTTCCAGCGCACAACGATGGTTTCAACGTTTTCGTTCTGGTGTAGAGGTGGTCGAAGATGCGCCACGAAAAAATTGGCTGAATTGGTCGAAAGAGACCGGCATAGCAGCAGCCGTAGCATCGGTCAAGAGCTGGGCATGAGTCATCAAAAAATACCGCAAGACTTTTTTGACAACCTATTACGGATATATGGTTCCAAATTAGTACAAAGTTTTTTTTCCTAAAAAAGTAATTTCTAATAATATTAACTAATTTGGCTTCTATTTATAAAGTCAAAATTCTGAAGGGGGTTTCCACCTACCTATAATCCGTAACTTATTGCTTTGATTTTATTTAAAAAAGCATTAAATCTTTGTAGTAATCGTTCGTTTTACCGCGTCAATAGATAAGGTCTGAATACATGGATCAGGGGTATCGAAAATTTAATATAATATAAGCAGTATTGTGAAAATACTTTTGTCCAAAATCAATATGTGGAAGAATAACCGAATCTAATCAAAAGAAATTTTCTTCCGTTGAATAAGATTATTTAGAAAATATCTAGATTCAAAAATGTGTTCTTTGCTGAAAGGTTTTACTAATATATTTTACGTTATGTTGATTTTGGCATCTTTAGGCAATATAGTGAGTTATGTTCTTTTTTATCTAAAAATGCAAATATTTGACGAAACGATACTACGAGCCCCTTATTTTTCGATAATGTTATCAACAAGGGTGTTTATTTTAAAGGGCAGTTATTTACCATTTCAATATTTACTTCATCTGAAAATCATATAAAATGTTGAAGGACAATAATAACCTAATACAAAAAAACGACATAAATATTTTACACACAAACACAAATTAACATAGATGTACACTATATACATATTTACATACATATGTATATAAACTGTAATCTAGTAATACAACCGAAAATGTCGTTAATACCAACATATAATGCATTACATTTGAGTAAAAAATATAAAAAAAAGGCAAGAGTAGAGCAGTTTATCACTTAATTTAGCATTAAAATAAAAAGTCCAATACATTAAAAATGACTGTAACGAAATTGTTGCCGCTGTCAGTGCGCGTGTTTCTGCCATTGCCACTGTCACTGCCGTTTCCGCCGTCCGCCGTCATCAACAAACTACTAGCATTTGTTGAGTTCATCGAGTGATATTGCGTCGATGTGGAAGCCAAACGTTGCCGTCGTCTCAGCTGTTGCTGACGGCGTTGAACGCGTGGCGTACTCTGTCTATAGCGCGACGTGTGTATAAAATCGACTTCTTCAGCAGCGGCAAGTGGCAAGCCACTCATACCAATCATCTCACTTGTTGTTGAAACAGGCGCTAGGGAGTTATCCAACAAACTAGCTTTGAAAAATTCCGACGAACCAGAGTATATCTCGCAAGACTCGACACGATTCGTGAGTATAGATGGCTCCGTGACAGTATCGAAATCTGCACGATTTTGGTCGCTCGGTAGCGAGTATGTTAGATAATTATGATCGAGATCGCTGTTGACTTCAACATCGTCGCTATTAATTTTATAAAGATCGTGTGTGGAATTACAGCGTCTAGCAGAGAATACTTGCTTACGCGGACTATAAAATAGGCGAGATGTGTGCATAGTCGGTTCGGTTACTATTTCCACATCTAAGTCTACATCGCAGTATCGCACGGAATCGGTCGAATGGTAGTGACTGGGCAGCTTTGAACCACGTTTATATACCTGATGTTGGCGTAGATGATTTGGTGATTGTGAATGTGTATGCAAGTATGAAGGCGAATCAATGTTTCTGATTTGTGAACTAAAGTGTTGAGGATTGCGTTGATGTGGTTCATAATTTGTTGACACTCGTTTTGGAGCTGAATGTGAATATTTAGTGTTAGACAATTTGTAGATATGTTGGCGATTACTTGCTAACAATGGTTGTTTAGTATTATTAATCTCTATATTATTGTTGTTACAGTTAGCATTCTCTATATAGATAGTTTCACTGTTATTGTTAGTATTGTAGTTGTAGTTGTGACTGATATCAATAGAAAATTTGGCATAAGTAGAAATTGAATTTGTTTGCAAACTTAAAGTAGTAGTTGTTGTTGTAGAAGTAGAATTAGAAGTGGTTGCAATAGAATTTGTTGTGAAAGTAGATGCTTTAGTGGTATCATTCGAATCATACAAATAATAATTGTTAGAAGATTTATGTGAGGTAACATAGCTACCGATATTTGTTGTTGTCGTATTCGGATCCAAATACATGTGACGCCCGGAGCTATTAGACTCAACCGCATACGCCGATGATGTTGGCTTCATTAAGCGAAGTTCAGATGATTGTGAGTGTACGTTGGACGTATCAACTTGTAAATGCTGTTTACATTGATATGTTGGTGGCCCATAGTCATAAGCATTACAGCTGTCATCCGTATCCATATGCTCAGTTTGAATTACCTGTTGAGAATTGGCATTCATTTTTTGTTGCTGTTGCAGCCGTTTCTTGTAATACAAATAGAGCGCATTAGCATTATGGCCACCACTATTGCTAACTATTAAATTGTGTACATTGTCATCCTCGTCGTTATCAAATCCGCTACAATGTGCGCGCATGTCGCGTGTGCTACCGCCTCCGAGATAGCCATGTGTTTGAAAGTGTGGGTGCTGCTGCTGCTGTAACTGCAGCTGCTGCTTTTGAACAGTAGCCAAACAACAATTGCTGCATGTGGTTGGCAAATTCAATGCCAATTCACTATCTCTAGGACCCAAAAACCATTCTGAGCGTGTGCGCATGCGTGCTGTTTGGCGCTCATGGACCTTCATTCGTGAGTTTTTTGTTTTCAAATAAATTTATGTACATGTATCGAAGAAATAAGTTGTTTTGGTGATATTAAATATATAATAGACATATAATATATATTGTTATCATTAAAGATGCAAATTTGTTGGTGTTCGTAAAGATTATTGGTTGGTGAACGGTAAACGTGTGTTGCATGACATACAAATAACAATATTTCGTTTTATATTTATAAAAGTGGGACACAACACGTTGTCAACGATGTGAAACAAAGTATTCCATTTCCAAGTCGTGATATATCCAATATGCGTTATGATCCAGTTATTGTTGTTGTTGTACGGATATAAAGGGTGTCGGGAGAAAAAAGGGGAATTGGCAAAAAAAATTACGAGCTTAGTTTTGTAGTCGTATAATGTTTTTGTACTATTGTTTTTTATATTAATTTCATGTTTAAAATACATTTTTCTTATTTAACAAAAAATGCAGCTGCAGCAATGAACCTTTTCACGAAATAAAGCAGGCTTATAAACAGCGTAAAATGTGCATATATCTAAAATTATGTGAAAAACTAAAGAATTCGGTGTAACACAAATATGAACTCAAAAAAGCTGTGAAATTTTTCCTGACTCCATTTTTAGGTAACCATTTCGATGCTTTACATTAACAAAATGATGTGCATACATGATTGTTAGATGGTGCTATGTGTTTGTGTTATATTATATAAGTATGTATATACTATAATATGTATCTGGCACAGATTTGAGCTGTCAAAACAATAAAGTACCAAAAGTAAAATAAAAAAATGCATTTAAAATCTTAAAGCATTGTCCATATAAAAAATTTATGTGTGAAAGAGTGAGAGTAAGCCTGCATGATTTATTTAATAATGGAAAAAACCCCTTAACGAATATTAAAACTATATAATTATTATTACCCATAAAAAGTTCAATAAAATCAATTGATTACATAACACGTTTACAACATTTTACATAGTCCATTGAAGCAGATTAAAGAAGTACAGTGTTGCAAAAAGTTTTCGTACGCGAAAAACGCAAATGGGATTTTGTAATTTAATGTCATAGACCCACCGTTATAAATATTTTTGTTAAAAAGATCAAATACTATTTTATTTGTGTGAACTTCACTATTTTTCTAAAATATCAATTTCATATCTGCAAGAATAGACTTTGTAATATTTTGAAATAAAAAATCATTTTTGAACGCTTAAGTTTTAAAATTTGAAGTATTTTTTGTTTTGCTGTCCCTAAATATATACGAGTAAAGAAGTTCACATCACATTTCACTTAGAACTAGAAATTTTGCACCCGCAATACCAATATAAATTAAATAAAAAGAATAAAATAAAAACTGTTTTGCAACAAACATGCTGTACAAGAAAAAGAAAAAACATAAATTCGAACGGCCAGTATAAAATCGAGGTAAGTTTTCGAAAGCTTAGTTGATCTACTTTCACAGTAATAGAGTTAAAAGACGAATTATAAAGGTACAAACATTAAAAAAAAGAAATACACGTTGATTATATAATACAAATCAACATAAAGTAAATTAAAAAATATTTAATTTTTGGATCGACAATTTCGATGTATATTTCTAAACACTCTGACAAGGAATTTACAAATATCAAAGAGCTATTTAATAAATAAAAATAAAAATATATACAAAACTAAAAAATATATTAAAACTAAAAAATTAAAAAGGTAAAACAAGTCAAAATTAATTTAGTAATTAAAATACTATATATATTTGACAAATCGAAGACTTATAACTAGCCATACCAAGCGTTTAAAACTATGTTATGGTCTATCTATTTATCTAGAAAGTTTTTTTTTTTGCAGTAGCGATTTCCAATATGATTTTATGTGTGTATTAAAATTATATGTGAAAATCATTTTATTTATTGGTATTTATTGTAATTATTTGTACTTTTTTGTTGTACATTAACTTTTTCCTTTCACATCATTGATACTTCGGCTATATTTTGTTTACATTTCTTGGCAAATAAATATAGCATATCGTATATAGAGGCTGTAAGGTCATTCTATAATTTCACAAATAAGCGCTATAGTGAAATAACAAGCAAAAATTAAATAAAAACATTATAGTTTTCAATCATACATAATTTTAATTAATTATATGTGCACAAATCAATAAAGTATTGAAATTCACAATTTTCACAAAAACAAAATTTATTGACGTATGCCTTTAAGAAGTTTATTGAAATGTCTTTTAAATAATGAAATTATATACTAATACTATAATTAAAAATCTAAATTGAAAGTTATAATTGATATTAATAATATTATGAAAAACAGATATATTAGGGTTTATTTATACTTTAATAATTCGGGATACTTAAAATTTGTAGTTTTGTAGCAATTATACGATTTTTTCGTGTTTATTAATATGTAGAGTAAATAGTGTTTCATCTAAACAAATTTGTTCTCTTTGGCGGCAGATGGACGTTTAATGCATGCTTCACTATACATACTAATCTATTATTTAAAGTATTGTAATTATTTGTTATGGACATGTATTTCTCGTTCCATCGCAATAAAAAGGGAACATGTATGAAGTGATGTAAGCATTCAGACTATAAATGCGCTAAAAGATAAATAATTTCGATGTTGCATATTGGATAACTTATTTTTTAAACAACTATGAATCAGTTGTGAATCGAAAATGGCTATTCGAGGTACTTAACATGTATTAAATAATATATAGATTACTAAACAATATTTAGTTTATAGAATTCTTGTATGCGTGTAAAGCTGAGTAGTGCTTTGGAATTAAAAATTATATTGTATAAGAAAATTCGTATTCTAATAATACAAATGCAAGTGAGTTTACACACACAAACAAAATATAAACCGAAAATGGTACTAAAAATGTAAGCCAATCAAGTATGAATTAACTTATTCGTTCGAATTTATTTATACCGAAATCCTTGAAGCAAGCAAGAATTCATCCCTCACCTGTGGCAAATAAGAAAGACTCTTTGTACTCTCAGCATAGCGATTGACAGCGCGTAATTCTTCCATAGTCATACCACCGCCATTTCCTACGCTGCCAGCACCTCCTCCAGAAGCTGAGGAACAAGAGGACGAATGACGTATACCGCGATTACAACGACTGCAAGTACGTGCAGTTACTTTAATGCCACCACTAGTTCCGCTGCTAATTTGTGTTGTCGTGATGCTCTGTATTTTGTTGTTCTTCATTTTGTTTCTATTTTCGTTTGTCTCATTATTCAGAGGCGTTTGTGTGGAGCGATCGCCACCATCAAGGCTTTTAGAGCCGGCTCGCAAACGTCGCTGATGTTGCATTCTAGTTTGAGTTAGTATTTTCTTTTTATTTTGACGATAGCGACGTCTTACAACCGTCACTTCGTCATCGCCATCATCATCATTAGAATCCACAACATCGTCATTGTCAATACTGACAGTGTAAGTGGTATTCAGGGCAGCGTTGCTATGCGTTGCATGGCAGGTATTGCCTCTGGCAGCTACTGCTCTATGTAAGCCACTTTTCACGGCCGTGTATGATGGAAAGTGGGATTTCGGATTGTTTTCGAAATCTTCGTCATTATTTATTTCGAGTTCAGCGGCAAAGTCTCCTACTTCGCCGTCGTCGTTGGCATCTACATCTTCGTCGCCGAAGTTCTCCTCATCGACGTCAGCATCATTGTCGGTGTCGCGTTGCAAATCTTGTATGTTTCGCTTCTTTATGGGCGATGATGTCATCGCAAATAGACTCGGTCCTTCTAAAGAGACAGATAGTCGAGCACATGATTCAATAAACGAATGTTCTGGTGTTACGCCCAATGAAAGCACACTGTTGTCTAAAGCTGAGCTTGAGCTTGTTAGCAAGGCAGGCGTTGAGCGGGATTCTTCCTGAGCGACTTTTTAGTTTTAGACGTTTTTGTTTTATTCATTATCACAAAGCAGGCAGTGTCAATGTACATAAAACACGACACACAGGCAGAGTATGAGTAAGAGTGAAAGAAAAGAGAGATTTACAATTGTTTGGGTGGTTGATTAAATTAGTCTTAACATTTTATTACACTTTCGAGACACTATTGCTCAACTTAAAAAAAAAACTAGCTATATAAAACGGGAAAGCGATCTGCATCAGGTACAGGTGTGAAATTAATGAAGAGAAGTTGTGATGAAGATAAAATTTGAAATTGAACAAAATACAATGGTAATGATGACGTTAAATATGTTAATAAAGCAAGCTTAATTAGTATGTACAGTAAAACTAAATAATATAAATTGAATGAAAAAAGTAAGTGAAACAATGAATACAGTACGAGTACAAGAGACAAATGTTAGAATTTAGGTTGACAAAGTACTTGAAGAAGAAAGACTTGTCACAGTTTCGTCTTTTTAAAGTATCAACTATATGTTTATAAGATGTTCGTTATTATTTTGATAATTTACACTGATAATGGAAAGCAAGTAAGATATATCTCAAATTCAACAAATTAGGATTATCTATATTATTATATAAAAAAGTATACTTACGCAAACCCCACCGCTCGCACTGGCACTGTAACCATGTCTTTTCTGCCTCAAGGGAGTGTTGTACTATATGGAAAAAATTATACATTTAATAAAAAAAAATTAAGATTTACATATATACTTCTTTTAAGCAGTATTTTTTAGCTTACGTGCATACTTTTGCTGCGCCAATTTACCACGTGGTGGAGGTGGATACTGAAAACTACAAATCCATTCGTCCTGTACTTTGAGTATGCGCCCCGTAACTCGCGCATAATATTCGTAATTTTCACGTCCAAATAAGTCATGCGTGGCAAATTTATCGATTATTTGCTTCATAATTTTTGTAGCCACCTATAATATTTAATTGTTAACCAATAGAAAGAGGACATTTATTATGTATGTAAATCGTAAAATTAAGGCAATATAAACGACCTTGTAGAAATATATCGTCGTATAAAGCAAGAAATATGTAAGTGAACGTAATGGATTAATACTAAATACTCATATTGTTTTTGAATGTTTTATATGTGTACATATTGTACCTTAAAGATAAGTTCAGAGTTTTACAAAATAATTTATAATTTCCGCAGCAAAATGCATTGAGAAAACAGCGTAATTTCTATCAATGCTTTATATAATATAACAAATTATAATTATATTAATGTTACGAAGTAGAATTCAAAATAGTAGATCGCATTAAATTTTATACAAATTTTACAGCAATACATACTCAACATTTTTGTTGTCATTTACTTTGCAAAATCAAGTTTGAATTTCTTTCTGTATTTTATTATAACATATGTATATTCATATACAAGTCTTTTTGTACAAAATAGTCAAATTGTAATATGGAGCTTTCATTTCAAAAGATATAAGCAAATCGTATTATAAACGTCTATTAATGAAGACTCATTTTCCTTTATATAAGGATATTATGTACATAAGTATATATAAACATACCTTGAATTTAAGCACATCTTCCATACGTGCTGTTTTCCCATCACTAACGCAGGATTGAAAGAAACTTGGCGCCACTGAAACTCCCAGGGCTTCGCTGGTCATGCCTGTACTGGCCTGAGTTGCATTGCTGGCAATAACACGGAATGTACCAAAGAGTAAAACTAGTAAACGTTGAGTGTATTTCGGCAGTGATGTAAATAATCTAAAATTTATAAAAAAAAAAATGTAATAAAATTATTTTTACAATATTAAAATATTGTTCGTGAATAATTTACATTAAACATTTAATATGGAAATTTATAAACAAATTTTAACCCTTTGCACTCCGCTGTCCCATCTCAGGGGACATCGCAATTCTAATACCGCGCAACTTTTTGACATATGCAGGTTTCGATGAAGTTTGCTCTTAAAATATATATATATACATATGTATATAGTACAAATCGGTGGATTTTGTGTCAGACCGAGAACTTCTCGTTACCACTTGAAAAGAGTGGTAAGGGAAGTTTTAGAAGAAATGTCGGTTTGCGAACATAGCAACTACTGTATAGTGTACTTTATATTTATAAATAAACAAGTCTAAGTCTGCAGGAAAATGTTTTCAAAGCCGAACCAGCCAGCAATGCATATTGGGGAGTGTTTTAAAATTTATCATACTCTGCAAAATTTTAAACATTAATATTGACTTTTTAACAAATGAACATTCCTCAATCAATTCATATCAGTCCAATATCATTATAATAAGTAATACAATACTTAGTTCTAAAATTAAGGTTAAGCTATACGAGGGTTTGTAAATGTTTGTTTCTGCTGTAAAGTGGCGCTGAATAGCTGATAGGCAACGTTCAAAATTGTGCGGTGTGCATATGGTTAAGGTCCCATTCATAGTTTTATTTGACTTGCCATATAGCTCTTCACAATGTTAAATATACAAGCCACTTAAATTAACTATGTATATATAAATGCGCAGTTAAAATATGTTACTGAAATTAATGACTTTGTTGTACATATCACAATGGTTGTAAATTTTTATTAAATTTGGTCTTCGCTTTGCTCACCATTAGTATCCGGTTTTAAAGTTTCTTGTAATCTAAATCTTGAACTACATAAAAATATACCTAATCTTGGTTATATTTTCGCTGGTCTAACAGTTAATATTCCTACTCATTTTAATTATGCTTGATTGGTCTCTTGTCCGAAATTCGGTCTCTAGCACTCACATTATAACTAAATACTTAGTAACTTCTGTAGTAAGTGATCTCCATCTTGTTTATCTAAGCATCTTATCACTAATGTAAAATGAAAATTATCCATAAGGTTATATGGTATGTACATAATCCTTCAAAAGAAACTACTATGAAATTACTAATACATTGGGTATGTAGGTATGTGAATTCATATGAATGAGTGTGACCGAGTGATTCATAAATCATTTCAGTTAAGAAATGTAAAGAAATGAAATGAAGACATCAATTTTTATGTTTGTTCATAATGCAACAAAATAAGATATCCCATAAAAGAGACAGCATGTTAAAATTAAAAACGACATATTGTTCCATAGCTTTATTGTTTGGTGTTAATTTGATAGCAGACGCAATGCTTACTGGTTGGATAACATGTTAAATGACATGAAAGTAAAGCAAAAGATCACTGGCAGTTTAAAAATTAAATGACTTACATTGATATACGTATAAGTACAGACTTATAAGAGACAATAATTCACTACGTAATGAAGTAAAAAAAAATTCACAAAAAGTGAAACCGTCATATTTAATCAAAATTATGCATGAATGTGAGTATAATATTTAGAAATCATTATAAGTGAAATGAAATGAAAGGGAAACGGTAAATACTAAGTTTCTGAAACCAAATCGATTCAACAAAACAACTTAAAACTTCATTAAAACGAGAAATGAATGTTAAAAGGTTTACTACGAAAATCTATTAGCATGTGAATACTAAAAACAGATATGTACATATCTACCTAAAATAAGTAAACATGTGGCTGTTGGCACTGCCGAAAAAGGTAAAAAAGAGATCCTCAAATAATAATAACGAAATGATATAGGCAACAAGACAATCGAAACAACAAACAGATAACAGTATTTATGAATGAAAAAGTGAGTCACCCAAAGAGCGTAAATAGGCTCACGTGAATAAATACAGACTATCTGTGCTGAAAATACATTTGCGACCAATATTTGTTACGCTGCTTTCTGACTGGTATTTAAACTCAAGTGGAAAAAGTAGAAAACAAATTAAATACAAAAAAATTGCGAATCAAACTATAAATAAATTAAATTAAAAAAATAAATGAATAAATACGGCGATTCGAGTAATTTGTCACACATGTATATCGTCATATTAAGCAATATCATCAACTTTTTTACTATAAAAATTTTCAAGGAATGAAGCAAATGTCATACAAATTCAAGCAAAGAGGTTAAATTTAATATATTGTAGTAAGTATATTAAGGATATAAAGTTAAGGCCAATTTCATTCATATTCGCTAACCACATTAATTTAAAACAAGAAAAAACGTTAAATTCGGCTGTAACGAAGCTAATATTCCCTTCACAGGTGCATTTCTTTTAGTAACTATGTGTTCAGTTTATATGCTATAATGCGATCTGAACAATTTTTACGGAGATTATATTATTACCTTAAGCAGTAATCCATATCAAATTTTGTGAAGATACCACGTCAAATGCGAAAGCTTTCCATACAAGAACTTCAAATCGTTCAGTTTGTATTACAGCTATATGCTATAGTAAGCCGATCTGAACAATTTCTTCGGAGATTAAATTGTTGCCCTAGAAAATATCCTGTGCCAATTTCATGAATATATCTTGTTAAAGGCATAAAGCTTGCTCTTGCAAAACCCTTGCACGGTGAAAGAATTGCTTATATTTTCCTCTTGGTGCAACGGCACAACAACAAACACAACCAGAAAATTATTTGCAATGTGTAAAATATGTCAGACCAAAACCCATGTATATCTGCGTGCAATGTCACGCAAAAATATAATTGCAACCCTGTTTTAGCTGTCATTTTACATAAAGACATATTACGTCGCTAAATTGTTGAGGAAGGTAAGTTTTAAGTAGATTTTATAATTTCTACAACTTAAATTATAAAGATTTGTTACAGTTTTTTTTGTTAAAAATTTATTCAGAAGGTGCGCCAATTCACAATAGCCATGCACAATAGTCATTTACAATAAATTGACCGAATCAGCCGTTCATATATCACTAGATTCTGCAAAGGGTGCTTTCGTGCCCTTGTATATTTCGGTATAGTTTTTTTGCACTCTGCAATCTTGCAAGAGCAAGCGAATACCCCTTATATATGGTATATGGAGCTGGGGTAATACGTAGACCATTTTTACACATGACATAAATAATATTGGTATCATGTGTTAACTTAATTTTCTAAAATAACTAAAATATTGGTCGGTATGTACTGGATAAAGTTAGGTTAGAAATTCTTATTTAGTGGATATGAGGGATAGGGCAATATAGACTCGATTTTATCAATTTTCGGCATCAAGCCATATTTTTACCAGAAAAAGATTACCTCGATATACATATATTCATTGGTGCTACATTACTATACTCTTAGTAAAAGAATCAGATGTAATTTGAAATTGTGTTATATTTAATATACGCCTAGTTCGCTCAGTTTTTGAACTTTAACTTAGAAATCAGGATAAAGTTAACATAAATGTATTTTAATGTTCGGAATATAGATTCAATTAGAATTGATATACCATAACGCCATACCCATAACCAAAAGTCAATTGAAAGGTTTGGTAATGTTTAACCATGGCTTTATGGTAGGGCACCACTAAAGTTGGTTCGATCAGCTGTTGTACATGTTATAGTTATGAAACCTATAATTGAACCTTATAAAATATGTAAAGTTTTTTATCAGTTTATGTTAACTCTTATTGAATGCCTTTAAATGTCATTCAAAAAACTTCCAAAAGATATTAAGTAGTCCTAAGCAACAAAAGAAGAAGCAACAAAATTGGCATTTGACCAAAGTATTGAAAAGTTTAAAGATAAATTTAAATGAATGGAAGGCTTTATTTACAATTAAAATAAAATTTTAATTCAAATTTATTATCATTTTTATAAAATGTAAAATCGGAATTTTGTATCAATAACTTTTGACATTCCAAACGACTTACCCACCCAGACATAAGCTTTTATCAGCAAATGCCTAAGTAGCATAGAATATTGTAGCGCGTAGCATATTTACAAATCAGCACAAATTACACATTTCTGAAAAATGCTCTCTTTAAGTAAAACATTCAACATGGCAAACTTTACGAATTAAATGTAAAATTTGGCACAATTACATTATGCCTTGATCACACGTAACGAGTAGAGCGGCGAGACAGTGACTCGGCCAAGTGCTCGTTTCGTTTAAACAGTAAGGCGAGTAATGAACCGAGTCAGTGGGGGAGTATAGTGGCGAGAGAGTCACTAGAATCACATTTTGTTTACTAGGCCGGGTGCAGTGCTTCTTTTTTCTTCACTCTTTTGCCCCTTCTGAACAAATCACTGACTCGCTCGTTGCATGTGAACACGCGTTCGGTCTTCACTCGCCACTCGGTCGATTTTTATGTTGTTTATTTAGTTTCAATTGAATTTTACATTGTGAAAGAATTGAAATAGCAAATACTCTTTTATGAGATGCGGTAGAACTTTATTAAAAACTCTTTTAAAATGTCTTTTCTACCAAACATTGTAAATAAAACTTTGAAAAACTTCACTGTCTAACTAGATGAACAAAATACGTGTAAACCTCTACTCGCCAACTCTCGACCGAGTATCATGCTCGGCCAGAATACTGTCTCGCCACTGTACTCGTTACGTGTAACAAGGCCATTAGTAGCACTAAAATGTCAACCCTATTTGTGTTATCATTTCACTCTGAGTTTAGTTTTTATTTTTAAATATATCTAATTCAGTTTTAATTTTGAAAATCATGTTAAAGTAAAAACTAGTTCAATTGAAAATTTAGCATTACGCCACGTACCCCATTTATGTTTGCTGGCGTTTTAACTAGAGCATATCATGTAATGTAATACATTGGGTGAAAATCAAAATTTGCAATGCTTTTCGTTTTTGAGAACATAATAGAATATTGTAATACATACTAACATATATACTGCTGCTAAACACCTTAGAAAT